ACTGACCCCAGGCTGTAGGAAACTCCCCCTGCCTCCAGGCACAGGAACCAGCATGCATCTGGCTGTCTGTGACATGGCTGAAGACATGAAAACATCATTCGATTTGGAAAAGAGAGGACAATTGAGTTAAAGAAGTGAATACCATGTGGCTAAAAATGGGAGTACTTTCCTCTGCTGACAGGTTAGATGTGTATTAGAGTAGCTAGCATGTGTCAAAGTAGCATTCATCCCACCAAAGCGCTGCTCAGAGCATCCCTCGGAGCATCCACAACCCAACGGCTGCAGCCCTGAGGCTCAGCTCCCTGCATGTTAAAGCAGCTCTCCTCCAGATGTGTTCTGCAGTCTGAAGAGGACACGTAGGAGGACCCCATCACATGAGGCAGATAATAGGGAGCGGGTCCCATTTGGGGCTGTTTTTTGGCCACCGTGCATTTGTCTGCGTTTTGTCCTGGAGAATTATGATTGGAAATATTGCGGAAATTTTCCAAGTTTAGTGGTATAGTTTGGTTTGGAGTGAGGGTTGATGCATAAATGCAGTGTGGTTGGAAGTTATGTGGAGATAAATGAGGGTTCGATCACTTAAAATCTAATGGCAGAGAACTGTTTTTCTTTCTCTTTTTTTTCTCTTTTGATAAACACACACACACACACACACACACACACATATATATATGAATATAGATTAATCAAGCATAATTATTAAAATCAGTCTAAAATGTTATTTTCAAATCCTGGAGAAAAAGAGAAAGAAAAAAACATTTTTCTGCCATTTAGTGTCTGCAAGGTCAAGCTCTAGTTCTGCTTTGGATGACTGAATCTGTCCATCCCACCCCCTCCCAAAGTACAAACCAGCCCTCTTTTCCCACCCTAAAGCCACTAAAGAGAGTGGAGGTGGGGGCGGGTGCTGGTGACAAGAGTTTTTCAAAGTCATATTAAAAGAGGCCGAGTCTCTCCAGTGAAGCATTGATGTCTAGACATCTCCTCCCTGTGAAAGCCTCGCAGGCCTGTCCCTCACCTCCATCCGCCCGCCCTTTGTCCCTGCCCTGTGTCCCTCCATCCTCCCTGCTGGCACGGGACAAATACCAGCCAGCGCTACTTCCTAAACGTGTCAGCAGGGGAAGAGCCATTCTCTGCTGGGCCCCAGCAGACAGGGTCCAGGGCGGGACCCCGGAGATCGGCCATGCAGAGCCACAACACAAGGAGGCGGCTGGCTGCCCCCCAGCAGCCCGGCAGATGCAGGGGTCAGCCATGGCGGGATGGGAGGGAACAACAAGATGATGATCGGTTTGTTTCTCTGAAATGACCACTGAACATCTCACTGATGTTCAGAGCAAACTGCATCACTCCTTCATCCAACCTGGTAGTTCTACTGAGAGCCTGACCCTCCTAAAGGAACTGGACAAAGGTCATAACCTGACACGTGAGAGCCTGTGCAGCTAGTTGTCATAACTAGCAACCTGTTGTGTGAGTATCTCAAATCCATGAATCATTCTTAGTTCATTCTTTAACATAGGGAATGGGTTGCCGGGGACTGGAGACTAGTCCAGGGTGTGCCCACCTACCACCCAATGACAGGCCGGGATAGGCTTCACCTCCCATTGGCCACCAGGAAGAAACTTTATGAATGAAGGGACCGTCAATTTACCAGCTGAGCCTGTGAATTCCTACACTATGTACATTGCACCAATAGAAAAACTCGAATAATTGCATGGGAAAGAGAACAACATCAGGCCTCTACTGTTCTTACACTCCCCAGAAACATATTCACTCCTCTTGAATGTCAACCCCTTTTGTTGCTTTATGATTAAACACAGGTCAGTATGATTAAGCTTTTCTCATTTGTATTGAAAATAAAAAAAACTTCTGTCTTGTCAAAATTAAAACACAATTTTCAAATAATTAAATCACAATAATGATAGTAATTCAAAATAAATGTGTATGAATACCCAAGACCTTTAAAACCAGGTATTCTCTGAGTCTGATCAAAGACTGGTGCCAGCAAACCCATCTGGTCTTCCATGCTAAGAGAAAGAATGAAATGTAAAGGTTTACTATATAATAGTAACTGTTGGGTTTTACTGTTGGCTCCAATTCTTTTTTTAAAATTTTAACTATCCTTTTTACTCTATTCCTGCAACAATTCAGGAGATGGCTGCTGGCATTTCCAACTTCGTGGACGTTACATGGAGTTAAGGTACATCTCACATTTGAAATCATCATCATTTCACTGAGTCCTGGAGGATGCTTGGATAGTCCGCCAGAGAGCCGGGACTTTGTCTCCAGCCAGACAATGAGCCCACATTCAGCCCGGACTACAGGGGGCTGTTCTGAGATGGTCCGGCCACTGCCAGCAGAAGTTAGGGCTGAGCTGGGCGTGGCCTGCTGATGCACAGCAGAGGGAAACTACACAGTTTTACTCTAGATATTTTTGTCTGGATGGTTAAACTATTGTGATCTCATCCCATATGGTTAGGGTGTTGGTTTAGGGTTAGGGTAGGGTAGGTTTGGGTTACGGTTATGGGGATAGGATTAGGGCTAGGGGTTAGGGTTAGGGGTTAGGGGTTAGGGGTTAGGGTTAGGGCTCAGGTCTAGGGTAGGGTTGGGTTAGGGTTTGGGTTAGGGTTAGTGTAAGGGGTTAGGGTTTAGGTTTAGGTTAGGTTTAGGGTAGGGTTTGAGTTAGGGTTAGGGGCGTTAGGTTAAGTTTTGGGTTAGGGTTTGGTTTGGGTTAGGTTTTGGGTGCTGCATAGGTCAGTGTGGACCATGTGTGAGTCATCCATCCATCCATCCATTCATTCCTTCATTTTGGGGGTGAACCAGAGGAGAACAAAAGTTTCTGAAGTTGCAGACTTCATCTTTGAGAATGCAAATTTACTCCATGTTACTTTCCTCATAAGGAATGATTCGTGTGTATTTCTACTGAACATAAAATACGTGAACGCCTCCAAAGGCCTCCGGAGCAGACAGCTTCTGTGGTGGACGTTAGCTGTCCGCTGGTCACAGGGATCCGGCTCACGGCCCTCTGTGACCATCACTGCTGACACCTTTAATTGGCTGAGCTGTTTGACAAGGCCCCACCCCCCCGCCCCCGCATCAGCTACACCCTCCTGTTTTATTTATGGGCCCCAGCCAGTTCTCAGATCTGTCCCCGAGCTGGGAGCTGAAATAAATGTTCAACTGTCAGCTTTCTCAAGGTTAAATCTCTGTATTCATGGATGCTGCCTGGATTGGTCCAGTTTCAGGTGGTTCCTACACCCTGGTACAGTGTAACTGCAGCTCTGTGCGCATCGGCCCCGTTGTTTGGAGCCAGGGGTGCAGGGGGATATTGTTGCCTTATTAATTAGATGTGGGGCAGAAAAAGGGATCTGTGGAAACAGCAGGCGGAGCGTTCTGTGTTCTGAAAGGATACATTAGCTCTAATTAAACACAACACTGCTAGTAGGAGACATGGGATGGTGGTTTGAATGAGCGGCTGATGCTGGTGGTTATGACAGTCAATGGTCTTTAAGAAACACCAAATCCCAGTTCAACTCATGTAATTAGGAGTCCTGCTCTTGTCATTGTTCAGGCACAAATTGGCCACTCAGCCTGGCTCACACCTCTCTACAGAAAGGGATTTCCCTGTGAGCAAGTGAATAAGTTATTCATGAGGAGTGTTGATCAGTTATGTTTTTGCATTCATGTAGTTGCCTCCAACAGTAATAAACAGAAGAAGTCAGCAGAGTGAGTAGAGCTGAGGCCTCGTTCAGCAGCACTTAAACCACGCCTGAGGTCTGTGACAGCAAACAAAATGGCCCCATTAGCGGCACAGTGGAGCGGGGAAAAAGGAAAAGAGCATTTTAGCTTTCAGCCATCACCTCTCTCTGTCTAACCAAGTCTTATTCTCCAAACCCACCAGGACGTGACTGGACTGGCACAGCTGTGACAACGCCATCTGTTCTAAAATACATTTATTAAGAATGGAACATTTCAGATCTTTGATATTGGATGGTGTTTTTTATAGGTGACATTTGATGCTGCTTTGTTCTGTTTTATGTATTTTTCCCTTTAAGGCCGATTCAGTCTGAGCTCTAACAGGAGAAGACCTCTGATCTGAGACTGTGGGCTCCCTGATAACTGTCAGTCAGCAGGTCACCAACCCCAGACAGCTCCGGACCAAACCTTTGTCCTTTTGTGGGACCACGTACTTCAGATTGGTGTGGACCTCTTTGGAGGTCAGTGGTTTAGCTGTGCATCCTCTCCAGAACCCTGGTCAGGTTCTCCTACGTAGTTCCTGACTAACCCATATTCCCCTGGAGGGAACTGAGATAACCGTGGTCCACAGTGCACGGACTGCTGCTCCTGCTGCTGAAGTGGATCAGAAGTGGTTCTGAAATCAGATGTTAATCCCCATTTGCACAAAAAGACATGAAGTTGGGTTTCCTAAAATGTGTGAGCAGCTTTTGTGTGATTATAGAAGTTATTATTTTGTTGAAGCATTACATCATGCAGGAATGGGAGGATGGTCCTCTTACAAAGCTTCAGCTGGTAGACGGAAGGCTGAAGGTAGACAGAGCAAACTGCCCCGTCCCAGATTTTTAAAACATGGTGCCATTAAACATGTTCATCAGTGTGAGCATGAAATCTGTGTCTTTGCTGTGTATTCCACTGAGCAAATGTTGAAAAAGATGAGCAAATCCCATTTTAAATAACACATACATTGATATGTGCATGTCCTCAGATTGGTTCTGGAGACACGTCACAGATACAGCCCATCAGAAGAGCCCAGAAAGTACAATCAGATCAAATGGATTAAATCCAAATTTACTCCAACACATACAAAATGACATATTTGAAAAAGTTTCTTCCAACAGAAAACAATGAAGCCTGTTTTGATCCAGAGGAGACCACAGAAGAAAACTTTGTTCTGAGCACCTGCCTCCATTACAGGCCCTAGCATGGGCAAAGCCCCTCTCCTTTTTAACGTGGGTCCTAACCAGAAGCTTTGGGGTTCTGAACTATTCCTACTGGTGCTTCTTCTGGACAGGCCATGGCTCTATTGCTGGTCCAGGGATCTGCTGGATCTGCTCCACATCCTCCCAGCTTCCTGCTTCAGCCCATGCTATTCTCCAGCCTCTGTCTTCTCTCTTCTTAGACCTGCTGCATCCCCTCAGTCTGGGATGAAGCCACAGAGCTGAGGTTCCGGTGTGGGGTGGGGAACAGGTGCAGTGTGTCTGTGGGACTGTGCCTTTTGAAGCATGTGTGAGTAGCAGGTGGGGGGTGGGGAGAGGAGGCAGTGGGTCAGGGCTCTATTTTGAACAAGCACTTGCTGGTACTTCAATAAACCTCTGACCCCCCATGGGGTCACATGTCCCTAAACAACTGTGAGCCCTGCCACCCACGGTGGAAGCTAGCGTGTGCTCCTCCACCACAGCCCACTGCTTCCCCTCAGCCTCCCTGTCTCTGGGTCAGTCTTTGCTTACCGACCCAGGAAGAGACAAATGTGTTTTACTCCTTCACATTAAGTCTTTCCTGCTCACTGGGAGGTGTAGAGGTAGAAGATATCTGATGTGTAGGTTAGCATGTAATCGAGTAAAGACAGGAACCTTTATGTCAGAGTGGTGTTCACTTTGTGGATGACAAGAAAAGAATGTTACTGTGATAACTAGAACATTTCTAAAGAAATTTTAAAGGGGAACACACCTACTCTCCGCCCCAGCAATCCCAAACGGTGCAAGATCAGGCATTGTGGCTCCAATATGGCGGAGGCCCGTCTTTCATGATCCATTCAATGTTTGAAAGATGTTTCTCAGAGGTCATGGGGCCAAGCGGTTTGGGCCTGTTCTCGACCTTCCCATTAGTTTCCTATGGGACGGCATTTTGCCCTTTTTCGCCATTTATTCGAAAACTCCCAGACTAATGAGAAAGTTGCATACAAGCACGCGTCCCGTGGTCAGGTCGGACGTGCGTGCAGATTTTGGGCCTGATCCGTGGAATCGGGCGGGACTAGCTATGCACTGAAAATCGGGCGGAAACGGAATAAGAATTAAAGGCTGTTTAAAGCTGAAAGGAACTCTTCTTGGTGCACGTGGAGGTCCAGCTCCCTCACATTACCCATGCCATGCATGAGATGTGATGAATTCATCAGTAAGCAGGGACGCAGTGGGCCCAGCCGTGCACAGGTGACCGGTGACCTGCCCAGCCTGGCGTCCGGGGGGGCTCTGATGGGACTGACTGGATCCCACTCAGACAAGCAGACACTCATCACAGTTCATGTTGCTGAGAGCAGCTTTCTGCTTCATGTTCTATATTTTCCTCCTGTCTGTGGGTGGTGGGGGCTCTGTGGGGGTGGGCTGTGGTTCCAGCTCAGAGGCAGATGGAGTGTCCTGCCTCATTTGAATGAGAAAGTGTTCTTTAGGTAGTACACATCCCCTGATGCGGCATGTCTGACCCTCTGAGCAGAGCAGGGTCAGTGGCTCCCCGGTGGATAACGCCCCCCCATCACTTCTGGTGTCACCCAGAGGCTGTTGCTTTGCTTTGTCCATATGAAGAGCAGCAGCACCCTCAACAATGATTTCATTAGGAATCGATGAGCTCCACAGCTTTTTACAAAGATCTGGGATAATTAATTGTCTTAATTATAGAGTGCAGCTGTATAATTAAGATCATTTCTGCTTTTTTCATGTTTCACTTAATTTAATTGATCATCATTCCTACAATTTAAGGCAAAACAGAAAA